AATAACGGAATTATTGGACTAATGGTTTACATGTCTTTCATTTTATCATGTGTTGCACATAATTGTCATGAATGATGACCTATAAATGTTATGCTCATAATGGAATAATGTTGATGAACTTTTATGTATACCTATAGTATTCTTTATGCATGGTTGTTTATTCATATATGATAGAATTCTGAATTATTGAGATGTTAGTGCTTGCCCCTTTTTATAACTTTTTCATATGAGTCTAACTGAGCAAAAGGGAAGTGTCTAGAAGTTTGAGACTTAACTTGAGTAAGCCTTTAGACCATTTGTTTGTTTAGTTTAAAGAATAATGGTATCTTCCAGTTTAGGATTCATATTTATTATTGAGATTTATTTTATATATTTGATTGTTTGTTATGAGACAGTGTTGAGTCATTAATTCAAAAAGAAATAATTGAGTAATTAATTGGAGTCATGACACATGTGTCTATTGGTTTGGCTAAGCTCAAATTTTTGTCAAATCAAATAATTATTTTTTAGTTCTTTTCTATCTACCATGGTAGCTTATTTCTACCATGGTAGGACATATTTATTATTTTTAAATGTTAAGCTTAAGCATTATAATTTTGGTAGCCTTTAAATTAGTTCATCTTTTTTTACCAAGATTAGTTTTCAATTACTTGATTTATTAAGAGAAATATTTATAATTATGGTAGCTCTAAAAGTTAATTTGACTATTTTCTACTATGGTTACTTTTTTAAATAAAATTGAGAAAATTATTTTTAAACTTTTTATACCATGGTAATTTTTAATGTGCTTAGATATTTTTTCTTACCATGGTATTTGATTAAGTTTCAAGTTAGTAAGGTTATGATGTTAGACAACATGGAAGGCGGAGTCTTAAGCATCGTCATTTGCTTAATAGAGAAGACAATCACACCATTGCTGAAGAAGGAAGAGGGAAAAGTTGTCAACCTGAGTCTAAACTAAAGGCAACGAGAAGGATTTTGGTCAAGGGGGCAATGTAGTTTGGTCACATGTGTGGCTGAGAGCGAGATGCACGTATGTATGAGTGCGAGAAGTTTTGGAACTGGCTAATGTTAAATGATTTTCTTTTATAAAAAAGGGGAAAAATTGGGGGTATTGTTCAGGTTTGGCTCAAATTTTGTCAAGCTTATTTGGAGCAACCCAAATAAGCTCGAAGTATGGGAATTTTTTTAAACTACTAGGCTGATCTTAAAATTTTTTAAGTTTATTTGGGCTAACCTGTCAAACTTAACAAGAATTACCGCCTCTATAATATATCAAAGTTTATATTCTTTTTACGTCCATTATTTAGCCTATCAAATTTTATGTTATTCAAAGTGAAAAATAAATGCAATCTCTAGTAGGTAGATAAGTGTTTTTTAAGAAAGAAAATGATATTACTTGAAACATAAAAAGAAGGGAAATAAGTTTGAGATTGTTGTGAAAGTGGATTTGAATAAAGCCTATGATAAGGTGGAGTGGAGGTTTTTCAAAGGAGGTTTTGTCAAAAATGAGCCATTGTGATATTTGGATGTTTTAGATTATGCAATGTGTGACTACTGTAGCATTTAATTTGCAGGTTTCGGATAGGAGGGTGGCTGAAGTAAAACCTGAGAGGGGCATTGGGCAAGGGGATGCATTATCTCCTTGCCTATTCTTAATAATCATGGAAGTGTTGTCTTTAATGATTCAATATCATATTGATAAATAACAATGGTCATTTGAAAAGTATTAAGCTTTCACGAAGTACCCATATCTTTTCACACTGTTTCTTTTTTAGATGATTCCCTATTCTTTATCAATGCAAATATTGATAATTGTTTGATTTTGAACAAGATTTTTGAGTTATATTGTGATGCGTCAAGTTAACACATTCATTTGAATAAATCCTGTTTATTCTTTCCTTCGAATACTCTTGAGGACTATAGGAAGGAGGTTCTGTAGATTTTGGGTATTGAAAGTACTGATATGCTTGGAAAATATTTAGGCTTACTTATGGTTTGGGGAAGATCAAAGGTTGGGGCTCTTGCTTATGTGAGGGATAAGGTGAGAAACAAGTTGATAGGTTGGAAATAGAAATTACTTTCTTTTACTAGTAGGGAAATTCTTATTAAAACTATTGTAAATTCAATTCTAGTTTATCCAATGTCCTTTTTTCTTTTCCAAAGAAAACATTTATGTAATTGATAGTTTGGTGTCAAATTTTTGGTGGGGCCAAAGAGGTGAAAAAAGTAGTATACATTGGAAAAACTAGAAACCTTTAACTGATTCTTAGCCGAAAGGAGGAATGAGATTTAGGGAGTTGCAAGCTCTTAACAAGCTTTGTTGGCAAAATAGCATGGAATATCTTAACTAACCCTGATGATTTTTAATGTAAGGTAATCAAGTGGATTTATTTCCCTCATTTTGATTTTTTATCTGCTAGCTGAGGTAGTGAGGCTTCCTAGGTTTGGTCCAGTTTGTTGGAAGGAAGGGATCTACTATTACAAAAATTATTATGGAGGGTAGGTTCAGGTGTGGATATTAAGGTTTGGAGTTCTAATTGGATTCCAAATTTAGAAGGATATAAGTTGAAGTTTAATGCTATTTTGGAGGAAGATAAAAAAAAAAAATAGAATTGTTGATCTAATTGTGAACAGGAGATAGGATTTGTCAAGTATTAATGATAAGATTTCTCTGTGTGAAAAAGAGGCTACTTCAAAAATACGATTCCTATAATGCAGAGGAAGGATAGAGTAGTGTGGACAGGAGTGAGGGATGGAATATACACTTTTAAGTTAGGGTATTACATTGCTAAAATGTAGATTAGTAAAAAGTTAAGGCTCCAAGCCCTTCCTTGCAAATCCAAAGGAATGTTTGGAAGCAAGTTTGGAAATTAACTATGCCACCCAAAGTTTAGCATTTTATCTAGCATTTGTTAAATGATGTTGTTGCTTCTAGAGATGTGTTGTTCAAAAGAAAGTGTGACGTTGATCCCTTGTATCCTATTTGCTATAATGATGTTGAAACAATTGAACATATGTTGTTTCTTTGTCCTTGGGCTAATCTTTGCTGGTTTGGAAGCTCCTTAGTTTTATATTTTGACAAGGATAATGTAAGGAACATAAAGGTGTGGGTTACAGAAATTTTGACAAGTAGTGGTAAGCTGAATAAATGGGGGAGGGCTTTGGGAGCTATGATTTGTTGATGGAGATGAAAAGTCAGGTGTACATTTGTTTTGGGGGGTGACAAGGTGGATTCTTTACAGGTTATTAAAACAGCTGAGGCCTTATTGGTGGAATTCTGGAGGGTGAAACAAGAGTCAGTGAAGGTGACTAAGGCTAAGAAAGCTGGAAAATATGTGAGAAACATAAGTGGCTAGCACCAAATGTGGGGAGTGTGAAGATTAATGTTGATGGGGCTTGGAGTAGTGCTGAGATCCTTGAAGGTGTGGGTTTGATTTGTAGAAATAGGGATGGGGTTTTTCTGGGAGGTAGCTACAAAATTGTGAGAGCTGAGATGCCATTTATGGCTAAATGTTTGGCACAGAAGGAAGCTTTCTCACATAGAGAACGATTTGAATCTCAACAGGCTTGTTTTGAGTTCGATTATGAGTGTCTATTTGATCTTTTATGCAAGAACTCAGTTCAAGGTTGTGAATGGCAAAGCTTGGAGATTGTGTAGAAGCTACTTGACTTGAAGAGATTGTTGTCCAACATTTGCTTTTCCTTGGTAACATGCTAGGGTAATATACTTGTGGATTTTCTTGTAGGATTGGCTAAAAAGGAGATGAACCATGTTGATTGGATGATGGTGCCACGATTCTCTTTGGCTCTTTTGTTGGCTTCAGATGCTACAATGTCGGATAATAATTGTAATGCTATCGTTTTTTATTTTGATAGGACTGGTGTTGGTTAATTAATTTTGGAATTTGTGTTTAGCATTGGATATTGTGTTCTGTTGGTTATTGTGACTCTTGTTTGATTTTTTTAGTTTTGTGAGAGTTTGTTTTTTTTTTTTGGCTCCAACTATTGGCATGTGTAATGACTTTTTTGTGATTAATAAAATGGACTCTATTTTGGTAAAAAGAAAAAAGAAAGAAAGAAAATGATATTCACTTATTGCATTTCTTTTTTAGATACATTCTCATTTTTTTAAAAGGTAAATTTTCATCTACCAAAACTCTAAATGTTGTTTAAATACTCTTGTTTTATTCGTGTGTTGTTTATTTATATATTTATTTTTGTGATGATACGACCTAAAGTTTTTTTTTTGGTCGGAAAACGACCTAAAGTTTGATTTTCATTCGACAAGGGATTGCTGCCATGGTGGAATTGAGCATCCAAAGTCATCTAACACACCTTACCCACAAATCAAAGACCACTACTAATGTACTGTAATGAAATGTATTGAACAAGAAACGTTAACACATGCTTTGATTACTGAAAAGTTTAACTTTAAGCCAATGGTTGTTTTGGGAGAAAGGTTATCAAGTTGCAAGCACGTGCTCTAATCATGATTAAATTTAACATTTCTATTTTAGATGTTTTATGGTATTTTGAAATCTACATACCATTTTCACAACAAATCATAGTTTAAAAAAATAAAATATGATCCTCCTAAATTAAATCTTTCGCACTTCTTACAAAATATAGGCATGCAAAGTGGGAGAGCAGGACGGGGAACTCTATTTTCTTATCATCTTTTTCCATTTACTTCTTTAATTATAATCATTAATCAAATTTATAACTAAACAAATTCATTTAATGTAATGATATCAATAATTATAATTAAAAAAATAAAGAAATAGTAAAGAAATGGAGAAATTACGCGTTAGTTAAAGCCGAAGACTTTAGGCCAAAAAACAAAAACAAAAAACAAAAAACAAAAAAGTTAAGCCGAAGACAAAGTGCATGCGCGCTGTGTGTGGGATCTACCGTCTACGTATATTTTAGCCAGGGACATAATATATATATATATACACATTTAACTACTTCTTGTGTTGTTGAATATTGCATTTGCATCACACTTTCCGTCCTCGAAGAAACCGCTCAAATTTCTGCTTTTATGCATATGATGACTCGTTTTTTATCTTCTCTCTTCTGTTCTTCTTCGTTTTCCCTCTTCCATGGCTGCCTGTCTCACTCTGCAACTTTATCAACTTTTCAACCACTCGTAAGCTTCCTTTCGCTTATTTTCTCACTGTCACTTGAATATTCATGTGCTTCCCAAGTTATGTTTCTAATCGGGTTCTTGTTTTACGCCATCGTGGTTATTGATTCTTTTAAGAAATATAGACACACACACTTCTATTTCGAGCCCTTTCTTGCTGCGTTTTGAAGCTTATCGCTGAAAATGGTAACTAGAGTAATATTTTATGAGTTCTGAATTCTGAGGATGGGAAAGAATTTCCCTTTATTGGTAAATATTCTTTCTGGATCCCTTAGTTTCATGAAAATAAAACAATCTTGTTGGAAAGCAGCATATTCTAGGATGTTAAATTGGTCTTTCTAACTGCTTTTGTTATTCTCGCTGGAATAATCTAACTTGAAGTCAATCAAAAAGTCTTTAAGCAAGGAATTGATGCTTGGATCGCAAACAGAACTGTGATCTGTAATGTGAATTGTACATATCTACTATAAAAGTTTTAAAATATACCGTAATCACGTGTGGAAAGTAGTAGTAGCTTACTATTTTTAGTCACTAGTTCCAAGTGATGTCTTTCACTAATGTATGTGATGCTTTTTTGTTTGCGTTCGATGAATATCCAACTCCTGAAATGTTTGTTTATCACCTTTTTATTCCAACAGAAAATCCTTTGGATTAGATATCAGAAGAAGGAAAGTAGACGATGCCCTTTTGCTTTCCAATCCCCATGTAACAGAGGAGAGAAACGATAGCTCTTCAGATAATAACCTCTTAATTTGGTCTTGGCCTAGATGTTACAACTCCACAAGGTGGTGTTCACTGATATCAGTATCAGCTAAAGATTCTTTTGTTAGTATTGATCAGAGTGAAAGCAAGAATGAAAATGATGCTACTCTTACCTCAACCAGTAGGGTGAATTGCATGGTACGGGTATTGCATGAATCTTCTTGGAGCTTTTCCCAAGCAGTTCAGTTCCTTAGGCTACCAGGAAGTGGTCCCGAGCTTGCAATGGCTTGGCTTGGGAAGGATGTACATGCATGGCATAAGCATATTGCTTATATGGTATGTGCAATAACATATGCTTTCGTTAAAAGACATATAGTTGTCTCCTTCCTGTTCCCTTTGATATTTCTTAGCCCTGTGAATTTGTGAATATGATGTAATCATTGTAATGAGAAGGCTCATGTTTTCGTTCTGGAATATATTTATTTTATGCGTTGAGTATCATAATTCATAGGAAAATTACGTGATCAGGGTAAAAATTGTTTATTTTGGATTCAATGAACAGTTAGTGTGCAGCTCTTAATTTGCCTACATAGGTTGCAGTTTCCGTTTTGATGAAAACAGCAATAGATGTGGAGATATTGCTTTCACATGATCGACAGAATGAATTCTCACCTGTTAGAGAGATGTAAGTCTTTGATGTTTTCTTTTGTATGCTTAATCAATTGTATATGTTTAGGAGGTGTTTTTACTTGTAAACAATAACATTAACGGAATTTTTAAAAGATGTAACATGTTAGTCATATAAACCTCCTCAGATTAGAAGGCAATTGTCCGTCAGCGTAAGTGATATTTTATCATTTCTAAGTTTGATACCCAGATAAGCTGTATGTATAGCAGTAAACAATCAAATTGAAAAAACAGAAGCAACTCACTTATCTAATATACCATTTATTCTCCTTTTTCAGATTAACCCCATTAAGAAATCAGATGAGAGAATACATTGAAAGCCAACTGAAAATGAGGCATCCTGATTTAGTTCAGTGGTTTAGAGTCAGTGAAATGCCACGCATGGCAGGATATTTCATTCCTCTTCTAAAGAAGTGGTCCATAGAATATGCAGGAAGGTTTGTTGAAGCATCTTTAATTTTATCATCATATTGAACCTTGCAGCCTTTTTCCTTAGTTAATAACACATCTTCAAGTGGATTTGATTTTCTTTCACATGACATTTTCCAATTGAATAGGAAAAATTTAGCCTGATATATAATTATTCAGCGGTGTTGCAGGAATTATTGTGGCAATAACCTGCTGCAATGCAGTGGTGAAATTCGGTTCTGAGCACATTTCCTGCCCCTTCCTAACCTCTTCTTTCAAAGAGGTTTTAGTCAAGCTGATGGATCATTCCCTTGACCTTGCCACAGTGGACAAGTTGCACCATTTAGCAACTGAGGCAGGATTCGAACTTAATTTCTTGCTTCATGTTGGGAAACAAATTCTTCCCAGTGAGAAAATTGAGGACCTAGAGTTTTGGATTGAGTTGGCACATAAGAAACTCTTGAAAGCTTTCCATGAAGAAAGCATCACGTCAAACATGAAAAATCTTCAGTGCAAGGTCGACCAGCTTACATCCTCTACTACAATATTTAATTTCCTTTTCAATTTCCTGAAAGAAGAGAAAGTACCCTAGTCATGCTTTAAATGAACATAGGCATCATAAGCACTACATATTGTTAATATTTTTTTATCTTTTAGGCGTATCTGTTATTTAGCATTCAAGTTTTCTTTCTGCATTCCTGTAGTTGTTTGTAAAATAGCTTTTGTGGATTCAGCCAGATAGTCTGGCCACTCTGGGACTTTTTGCATACCTTGGAAGAAGGACAAGAATATTTTTGTCAGCAATGGGCATTAAAGATCTTGATGATATGGTTCAAGACTTCCTCAGGTTTATCTTCTTGTTCTGCTGTTTAATTTTAAACATTTTAATAGTACAAGAAAACTAAGAAGGACCAATACTTTTCTTCAAGTTACCTGGAATGTGGCATCCTTCTCATTTATCCTGAGTTTTCCTCCATTCCTGTGTATCAGTTTTTCATGGAGGTTAGTTTCTGTCAGTTCTGCTGAATACTGATGTTAACTGGCTCTTTTATGTTGATATTAAAACTACATTCCTAATCTATCTTCATATTTCAGTTAGTAACTGATGAAATTGGGTGGCTTGATTTTTATGCCTCATACTCTCAAATAACCTGTCAAGGGAAAAGGTCCAAGCTTCATGCTCGCCAGGCAGAGAAAGAGATAATTTTACATGTAGTTTTTACCGTGTGCTATGATATTTTCTCTGGCTTTGCCCACTTCACTCGCTCTACTCAGCAGCCATTGGAGGCAAATTTGCTATCATACTTGCTTCGCAGGTAACTAATTTTATTGGATCAATTTGTTACCTTTTTCGACTAGCTTAAGGTTCTGTCTTCCTGAAAGAGTGATTTTTCCCCCCTTTTTTGGTCGTATGATATATCTTTTTTCTTGACATTCCTAGTCAGGGATTGCTAAGCATCTGTCTGCAAGAGCACAGGGCCGCTTATGTCAAATCAGGGTATATTGCTATCACTAGATTCGTCATCTTGTTATTACTTTTTTCTCATTCAAACTAACTTCTTAAGAAAGAATACCATTAAGCTTACAGTTCTGTTTCTATTTTCAGTGAATCACTTGATACTGTGGACTGTGCTGCCCTGAATAACCCCACACCAAGAATTGGAAGTAGAACTGTACGCAAGCTATCTTTGGCCTTAGAAGCACAACAAAAATCACGTGATTTAACTACAGAAGGGTCTCCAAAGGGTAATTCTCAATTTGGTTCTACGCTACACAAGGTACAGTAGACAATATTGTTTGTCATAACAACATGATAAAATAGGTAATTCGATTTATTTTTGGTTCATTGAAAGAGCTTTTGTTCAGAATATGTATGTATATATATATATAAGGAGCTTTTGTTCAAATTGGAGATGTAAGTTCCGCGTGCTCTCTTTTTCTATGTCCATTTTAATTTAAGCATTTGATTTCTCTTCCTTTTCTTGAAAGGAATAAGTTTCTTATAGATATGTATTGTATTAAATTTTAGTCGTGCATATTATTAGCAGCACCTACTCTTGGTTTCAGTCCAAAACTGAAAAGTGGTGAGTTTCATTGTTGTGACATCCTGTGCATGTATTTTCTAATTAATCTTATTGCTATATATAGACTCCAATTTTAGACAAGGCAACATTTCAGCGAGGTACCTGTATTGAAAAGGTAAAATTTCTGTATGAAAGTTTTATCAAGAGATACTGCGTCAAGTTGGTTTCCGCAACCACTGTAAGACTCTTCATCATCTGCTTTTTGTAAATGTGCCAATTATTCTGAAGTTAGAGTGCTAAAACTATGGAATGATTTGTTTCTAGGACATCTGGATGGGTACTCAGTTGCTCTACATAGACATCAAGGTTGCTCTAGAGCTACTTATGAGGCAAGCACATGGCTGCAAGGTTACAAGAAGGCAGAAAAAGAAGCTAGAAAGAACCATAACCGACATTATCACACTGCTTCCTGTTACAATCTTGATGCTGCTTCCCGTAAGCAATAATGTGGCCCTACATCATGCTAGTTCTATTTGATCTTAGTTTACGGATATTAGGCCGCCATTAGCTGAGTGACTTAATAGAAAACTGGGTAGTTTCCCCTGATTTCTCAAAAATTCAGGTTGGACCAAGAAAGGAGTGAAAGTACGAGTGTTTGGTAAATTAAGTTTACTTGGTTTCATACCACTTGGGGAATTTCAGTTGAGAGTTTCAATGTTCACAAATAACATCTTACTTTTAAATACTTTGTTATTGTAAGCAATTGGTTGTTATATTTATTCATAAACTATATTTTTGGTATGAAAAGATGAAATTTGCTGCTTTGCTGCTCTGATAGGAACTAGGAAGCATCAACAGCATTTATGATGTTTTTGAGGCCTAGACCATAGGCTAAGACCCAACCCCGAGGATTACCTGTAGCGAGTTTTGATTCCTGAAGGAGGGTACTCAACTAGAGTGGTCTCAAGAGAGAGAGGATTAACACTGCCAAGAAAGACTACCAAACCAATATGGAATTCAAACCCCTCGAACAGGGGGATGCATAGGCTTCTGGTCTAAATCCCCTCAACTAGTTGAGATGTCGAGTTCCCTAGAAATATCTGGTGGACCCTCAATTATTTTGATTCTTGTCAGTTTCTGATAAAAGTCTCTGTTTGATAGCATTTGGACTGTGTTGAACCATCAAGTTCTTGTGGGCTAAGCAAATAATAGACCTGTTAGTGACATGAATACTTCAATGAAATCTTTCACCTCTTGACATTGTTGTGGTTAATATATATTTAATTTTTTTCATGAAGTGGTTAGCTGTTTAAAATCAACCTTTTAACTTGCGCACACCTTCGCAGTTACTTGGCACCAAACTTCTTTTTTATACCGTATGCATATGCTCTTTTCATCCCAAAATGGAAGTCACTTTGACCAACTTTATGCAAATCAATATAATTTGTTGAAGTTAGTTAGACATCTTGAACTTTTCAAAAATTATCTAAGCCTTCCAAAATTACTCTTATTAAATTGTAATCTCATGTTAATGATCTCTCTCTTAATATCTCTCATAAAGTGGGGTACAAACTTTGACTATCTTCTAGAATGTGACTTACATTTTAGGATGGAGAGAGACGGGGATTACCGTATGAGCAATTGTTTCACATGAAGGTCTTACATGTGTAGATCAGACAAGAACTGATAAGCTGTTTCGTGTATATCTATGAAGGTGCTGCTTTTTTTCAGAACAATCTCGTTGATAAGTATGATTTTCATTCATGCCAGGTAACAGCAGTAGGCCATGCAGCCATGCTTGCAGCAATCAAGAAGTATATGCCATTCTTAGTGAGTTTTTGTTGCCTTGTTCCTCATTTTTTTCCATTAATGGTGTACACTGCTGAGTGTGGTTTCCTCTGTGCATAGATCCCTTCTCCATATTCTCAAGAACGTTTGGATGTTGTGAAACAACTAAAGCGAACTAGAGAAATAGATGATCAATCCTGTGGGGCAGCCTTGAAGATCTATCACCAACCTCTTCTTGACTCAGAAATTTTCATTTGATCAAATGCTGTTTGGCCAATTGACCATCTTTAAAACATTACAGTGATCTCTGATTGTCATTTTTCTGTAAATAGAAGTGTTGATCAAGATACCTTCTGAGATGTTGCTAAATTCAAAATGGACTATAATTCATAATTTAGTTGTCCTGAATATGAGGATGAACTTTCAGACTTCCAGTTAATTAACTATTTCATTGTGATTAATTGTTTTGATAATCTATGGACTAACCAAAAGAAGGATAAGAAAAACTGTTCCATTTTCTTCTTCCATTACCTATTTTTGGTTTTAGTTATCGAAAGCTTTAACTACACTTCTAGTCTCTCTAAATTTATGTTAATTTTAGTGAAGTCTCCTTGGTTTGAAATCTAATATAATAAATAATATTGTCTTTCCGTTTTTAAAAATGGTTATCAAAATCTAATAAAAAATTTAATACAACTTAATTACCGATTAGAATGAGACATAAGTTAGATTAATTTAACAACAATTAGTCTCAAAATTTTAATAAAAGATTGTATCCAAATATTTATAGAGACAACTATAAATATAGACATTTTATTTATAAATTATGCATTTGAGTCTTATAAATTACTCTCAATGATCTGCAATTGAAATTTTCATTTTTGTAAGTGTTTGAATTGATATTTATAATAATTTACATTTTAGCAAGAAAATTTAGATCTAACTATTATTACATCAACCTTTTTTGATTAAGTGTCATTCCTCAATCAGACTTCACTTATAAACAAAATCTAATTAGGAAAACAAGAAACTATTGTCCCCAGAAAAAATTATTTACCTGCAAAAGAAATAATAATTGCAACACTTCAGAGAATAGGACTTGCTTGGGAACTTGACTAAGGCAATGGGCAAGAAAAATTGATTCCCACACTGCAAGTTTGTAGAAAAATAAAAGTTGTGATATCGTCAAGTAATGTATTGATCAAGCTTGAAAATTAGCTAATCCATAGTTTTCAATAAAGTACGTTGTAGTATGAATAAAAAGATTAGTCCTCAAGAAGAAATCATACATTCAAACATAAATTATTCTATTAAGGTTAGATAAAATTAACGGACGATAATAATCAGGTCCCAAATAAAAAAATGTTAATTATTTTTTCAGTCTATTTACAAGTCAAACTTCTATATTTACATATTAAATTTCAGTTTTTACAGGTAAACAGACTTATAAGTAATTAGTTTTTTATTTGGGATTTATATGTAATTCTCCCTAAAATTAATATATTTTACTTTCATGGCTGACAACCTAAAATTTAAATTTAAAGGCTGTGTAAGTCATTTTTTGGTGATTTTTCAAAGAGATTTGTTTGGTAGAAGAGAGAGCCATCATTTGACTATTTGATTAAAAAGATTAATCCGAGCAATCGGCTAGCACTAACTCCCTTGCGTAATCTATAAAGAAATAACAGAGAGATTAAGTCTTAGCGAAGATTCAAAAACCAATTTAGTCAATTTTAATTATTTAATGCACTGAGCTACTCATGAGGTTCTACAAGTTACATAGTGAATTAACAAAGACCAAACTTTGCAATAATCACAATTAGCCAAGCCATCATTTTCTTATAATTAAAATATAGCCACTAACATTAACAAATGGAATTTTTTTAAAGTATTCGAGCATCGACCAGATATGATTACCCTATAGGAAAAAGTGCTTAACGTTAATTCATATTAAATGTCAGATAATATATAATTTAGCATGATGGGTTGGTAGAAAAGATCGAGGCGCTTAATAATAATTAACAAAATACATACATTCCAAAATTCTAGAGTTCGTTCATGTTTCTCTTCAGGCATGATGTATGACCAAGTGCACTTGCAAATTATATGTCGGGAAAAAGTGTTGATCTATATATATATATATATATAAAAATTAGTTAATTAAATTACATTTGTCATTTATGAATGGGTGACGATGAATGCATTATGCATGAGAGAAAAAGAAAATGAAAACCTTGGTCCTTGGATGCAATATAGATTTTAATATAAATTATCAGATTTTTCATTTTACTTTTATTTAAGAAATAAGACACAAATAACGCTTTCATTTTTTTAATACCTACATTTAAAAAAAACAATAATTAAAAATAAAAATCTAAAATCTACATCGTAAAATCAAAACTAATTAGTTCAAAATTATTATTAAAAAAAAGGAAGTCAATAATATTGTTATTTTTAAAATTCAAATGTTGTGCCTATATTAATACATAGTACTATTTCTAAACTTTATATTTTTTTTGGATAAATTCTAAAGTTTATATTAATAATGTGTAAATCGTCAACTGTATCATCATTAAAATCATCATCATTGTTCTCGTCGTCGTTATCAACTCCTACTGATACATATGTCGACAACTTTGTTTTTAATCCCTGTTTTTGTCCTTTTTTTGTATTTTTTTCAAAAATACCAATACAATTTATTTTGGAAATGAGTATGAGGCTAATAGTTTTACATTGGGACTTACACTTAACATTTTATTGAGAAGAGAGAGCAAGACATTAGTATTCTATGAAATAACTGCATTTTAATTAATTTAATTATCTTTTGTATATATATATATATATATATATATGATATCAATTGAGACACTTGGAAGTTGATTGGTGGAAATATTGCGGTACATGATGAAATGGACTTATTTTAAAATTAAGAAATATGTGTGTGTATATATATATATGTTAGTTTCAGGAAATGTCCATAAGAGTATTTCCACAAACCAATTATAATTTTCCAAAAAAGTATTGACTTTATTTAGGGTCACTATTTAAATATACCTATATTGGAAATGGAATTATTTTGTCTCTTATTATCATTTCAGTCTGACCTTCATTTAAATATGTCTTCTGGGGCCAAAAACATTTCTCCCTTCTATTTTGGCGACCAGACAATGATAACCACCAAACTCAAACCTTTAGATGATTTTTTTTAATTACATTGTATTATATTACCTATAATGGTACAAAATATATATGGTGTGTTATATTGATGATTGGCTGGGAAAGAGCTCGTTGATTATATAAATATATATAATATTAATTAACCAGCTGCAGTTTTGTGTAAAGAATGAATAAAATCTTATCATTTTGATATTGTTGTCCATAACCAAGTCTCACTCTTTAATTTTTATATTCTATAATCATATGATTTTGATTTTAATCATTGGGCATAAACAATAACTCCAACCTTTACCATTGTACTTATATTATATTTCTTTTGTGTTTTCTAAGTCTAGCTACCTCCAGAATGATTGTGTTTGTGTCTATGTAATTTGAACTAAAATATCCTTGTAATTAATCTTTAGGATGTGAAGGCATTGAAATTATCTTATGAAAATAAATTGAACTCTGATTGTATGATAAGAAATTTGAGAAAAATGTTATCGACGCTTCTTGAATTTTATAATTTTTTTTAACAAAAAACAATGAAGCACATTAAAGTTTCCATATATGATAATAAAAAATAGAGGGACTATGCCTCTCCTCATGTCTTGAAAAATGCTTAATTAGGACAAATGATTAATTAAACGAAATCCAGGTATGATAATATATATATAGGTCCAAAATGTTATTGAGATATTAATGGTGGCTTAATTAATTACTTTCTTTTCTTGATCTGGATTAATTGCGTAAGAGCTGACTTCGTTTGAATAGCTTTTTTCTTCTCAACCTTGATCTGTGCGTGTCAGTGCTGGTGAATCTTAATACATAGAGTTCAGATTAATCGTGCAGGCAACATGTTATTTTCTTTTTCTTTTTCCTTTTTTGTTATTCTACAACATTAAAAGGTTAAACTTTTTTATCACTTTAAAACAAAAAGTTAAACTTAATGTTCGTCATCATAGAAATTAAGTCAATATTTTTAATCTTGATTTTAACTTTTATAATTATTGACATACATAAAAAAATAGAATGGTGGTTAGTGGATGCAACATATTTATATTTATGTATAGTTATTGTAGAATTAATTACTAAACAGCTGCATTGAAAAAATTAAATAATGAAAGGCCAGGAATCAGTGCGTACAGACAGTATAACTTGATTAATCATCCTGAGATACTGGCCTAACTTCTTTCCTTATTATAATAATTCATTAATTTTGTATAAAAATTAAAAAAATAATACACTTTCAATTTTATACGTACTTAAACGAAAAAAATTTAAATTTTTATTCCATTCACTCTCATAATTAAAGATAAGTAATATTAAAAAAATGTAATTAATATCCCACCAAATACTATATATTAAGATATCATTAATTTCTTTTAAAAAATGCCTTACGATAAATATCAGACTTCAGAGGGGATGTACAATTTTCTGAGCTTAATTTTAGGGAAGGTACAATATAGATTGAAGTTTCTCACCTAATCACTGAAGTTTAAAATAAAAATAGCTATCAAGGCAATTGAATGAAGTTTTAACTTTTAAAGAATACAAGTTGTTATATAGTTGATCCCCTTAAGCTAATTGAATGAGAGGTCTAGAATCTCAGGACTTAATTGCCATATTGAAATTCAGTAATAAGGCATCCAGACAAATTAGACAGAATATAACTTGTGATCAATTAATAATTATATTATTTTTGAGTGATTGTAATTGATTGTACTAATAATGAATCCTTTGGCAGGAGAGATCCTACTACTAGAGCATAGGGAAGGAATCTTGGAACGGAATGGATATATTATATTTTCATAAAGTGCAGAGGCTAAATATGACGTAAGCATTTTTGTTTTGTGGTACAAAGATAGATTGATTAAGACGGTTAATTACTTGGTTAACAATCCAAAGTGATGATTGCCCAAGCAAAAGAGAAAACAAGACATATTATGGTGGAATAATTAAGAAATTAAATCAAGACTTGAGAGAATGCGATGCAATTTGACCCCAACGGCCACAAGAATGGTGAGAAGTGGACATTTCATGAAACTTGCCAAATACAATACTTTTACCTATTCTTTTCACTTTATTACAATAAGTAAAATAAATTTTTTGAAGAAAATTTATAATAATAATAAGAAAATGTTTCATCCCAAAAACAATTGAAATCATTGTTGTCAAACTTTCAAATAGATTCTCTAAATTTATTTCTTTTATGTTTCTAGCTTATAAAATTAAATTAATTCACTCATAAATTTGAATTAAATAAAACTCTTCAAATTTATTTTTTATATTTTTAACTTATAAAGTTATATCAATTCACTCATAAATTTATTGAGCAAGATATATATATATATATTATGTAAAATTTAGTTTACAGAAGTGGTAAAACCCACTTCAATGAAAAAATAAAAAAAAACTAATATTAATAAAAAAGAAAAAAACTATAAATAAGTTGCCCTATTTTAAAATATATATGTTCTATATAATAATTTATGAATTTAATTTCAATAACTTATATGTGAAATATATTTTAATTAAATCATGATCATATTTTACATTTAAATTATTTAATCATATACTTTTAAAAGTTATTTATTAACAGAAATAAACTCTTAAATATTTACAATTCAAATCTGCATTTTGATTTTGCATTCCTATCATGTGTTTACTTAAACTTATAGTTTAACAATCTTAATTGGAATGAATTTTATGATAAACCATTCTGTTATTTTTTGATACATTAAACGGATTTAAATTCTTAAACACACATCCCACATCATTCTCACCGTAACTGCATTATTGCCTGTCTTAAATAATCTTGCAGATTTTCTTTTTTTGGCCAGAAAATAATCTTACAGATTAAGAAAACATACGTTTCTTAAAGATTTTTTTTTTTGGCCAATAATCCTCTAAAAGGATCATGACATAACAAATAATGGACTAAAGTGTAATTTTAATTATGTAAATAAAATTTTATTATATAATTTTTTAATTTTATAAAATATTTTTAGCTATTTAATTTTAAAACTGTTAGTTTCATTAAGAACAAATTTCAACCAAAAAAATTTATTATTAAAAATATTTTTAAACATTAATTTATTAAATTTAATTTTAAAAATAACAATAATTGACATAAAAATAATTATTTAAAATTAACAATGTTAATGTTATATGACTAAAAAAAAGTTTAAAAAGTTAAAGAACCAGATGAAAATATTATATAAAGTTATAGTATTAAAAATAAAAAAAATTATATACTTTATCTTATATATTTAAAGTATTTATTTTTAATTAAATTAATAAAATACATAAATCTTATATAAATTATTTATTCTATAACAACTTTTATTATTAAATTATTAATATATTAAAATTTATTTATTTTAATTTAATTAAATAAAAATTTGTTAAATATACAATATTAAGTAACGAAATGTTGCCCTTAAAAATATACTTTAACCATAAAATAATCACTTATATATAATAAAATATTCAATATGTCATAATGGTTTTCTATTATCACGTATGGGACCCACATGAGAAACCCACCAATGTACAAAGTCGTTTGATTGGGCTAGTATTCAACCCAACGTACACAGACAAATCAAATCCACTGGAATAAAAAGCGCAAACAAAAACCCAAAAGTCTTTGTAAAATTTCAAAATCAATTCCAACAGCATTAACGTACAGCACCACCATCATCTGAATGAATGCCTCCTATTTGTTACTTATTATTTATATTAGCTTATCAGGAAACGTCATCAACAACATACTATTTGGATTCTATTCTAGAGTTTGAGAGATTTTGGAATGAAACAGAAAGAAAAAATGAATATAAACATAAATTACACATAGTCATTCTTGAATTTAGATTTTTAGAAGTCTGACATAATCTGAAATATAAACATAAATTTAAACACCTCGCTTGATGATAATATTCAAGTTTTGATTCATTAGACCCGACCTCACTATCTAACCTCATTATCCAGAAAATAAGGGTAAAAGCAAGAAACGTTAAGAGGGATGGAATTATATTACAGGTAGGTCAAGCGTCGCTGTACACGGAGCGTATCTGTTCTTCCCTACAAAAGCCTACCCACTCCTCCTCTGTTCCTCCTCATTCCCCCCACCTTCTCTCTCCTCTTTCTCTCTCTCTCTCTCTCCCCCCCAACAATGACACTCCTCACTGAATCTGCTGCTTCCTCTGAGACCTCTTCATCTTCCTCCTCTCAATCCAAATCTCAATCACACCACACCAAAAGACCCCGACCTCCTCCTCCTTCCTCCTCCTCCTCTCTTCTTTTTCATCTTCATCGTCGTCTTCGTCTTCCTCTTCCACCAGCAAGCTGCCACACTACCATGGCGTTCGAATGCGAAGCTGGGGCAAATGGGTGTCTGAGATTCGCGAGCCTCGCAAGAAGTCGCGCATCTGGCTTGGCACCTTCGCCACCCCGGAAATGGCAGCTCGAGCCCACGACGTCGCCGCTCTGTCCATCAAAGGCAAATCTGCCATTCTCAACTTCCCTCAGATTGCCGCCGTCCTCCCCCGACCTGCCTCGTGCTCCCCACATGACATCCAAGCTGCAGCTTCTGCCGCCGCCGCCATGGTCAAGTTCGACGCCGTGAAGCCCTCGGAAACGTCAGGGTCGGAGTCGGAGTCGTCGGAGCTGAGTGAGATAGTGAAGTTACCGGATATAGAAGAAGAGAGCTTTCAGTCGGCCGAGTCAATGACCGAATTCATGTGGATAGACTCGGCAGATAGTTGGGTATTTCCGGGTATGGGCATAGGTTCGGATGATTCGGAACTGAGCTCCATTTTCTCCCAGCAATTCTCACAGGAGATGCCACTCTGGGATTGATACTTCATTAGACCGAATCAAAATTGCAACGAAAAACTCCACCAAAAAAAATAAAAATTGCTCGTATACATATCATATAATTACACAATAACTTAGTAATAAAAAATATTAATTTATTGTATGATTATGTATATGTGAGTATTTTTTTTTTTTTTTCGAGGGGCTGAGAAATTGATGGCTATGTGTTGCTGTCCCAAACATGTTGGAGGTGGTGGCTGACAGTGCTGTCATTTTCTTCCATTGCTGTATTATAAATTACAGATAGTAGTAGTATGTATATGGTCAGTAGTATTAGTTGATACGGCAAGAGACTCATTTAGCAGAGCAAATTTGCAATCTGTTCAACTAAGATTTGCTTTCTTTGCCAGTTAGAATTAACTGTGCCTTTCCAATAATTTTTTTCACCCAATAAGCAAAAAATATATTTATGTATTTGTTTTTTATATTTTTGTTTGATAACATTTGGTACTGCAAGGTCATATTTCATAGTGCTTGATAGCTAATTGGTGAAAGTGAAACTTTAGTTACCCTTTACTCTACCTGTTTTTATTTATAAATCAATTTCCATGTTTTATCAAAACAAAGAAAAATTTTAAAGCCTATTAACTTTAACTAAAAATTTAATATATTTTTTTAATTTTATCCATACTAAATATACATATTTACTAACATACTTACTCTCCCTAAATGAGAATAAAAATGAAAACTTGTGAAATGAAATGTTTTATAAATGAAATCCAATTTTTTTCTCTGTTTTATAAATAAGATTGAAAAAAAAAAAAGTCTTAAGTACAAGACAAAACAGGTTAAGTTGTGGGCATGGCTATGATCTCAATATTATAATTCAATTTTTAATTGTGATTCCCAAAATTTCTAAGTAGCTTGTGTGTTAAATTTAAGTTGTCCCAATTTGTGGCGACTCCAAAGCAGTCCGAGGGAGAATAGGCCATGTTTAATTGTTTTCTTATAATTGGCCTTTTCACATCGACAAAATGAATTTTTCTAACAACTGACAATATATTATATTATATCTGGTATTTTTTATCTTTTTTTTTTTTTGCCAACCGATTATATGTATAGATATTTAATACATGAGTTATATAATTATATATCTATATCCGTTATCTCTGCTCACTCCCTCATTTATTGAATCATCCAGGCCTCACTCTCCCTCTCCCCCTCTCACTCTGTTGAGTGTCGTTATTAGATTTGACATCAGAAAATATCGTGGAGCATGATATCTTGCTCCCACCTTGTTTTTTCTCTCGTCCAATTATCTGTCCAGTTGTTTATATATAAAATGAAGTTTATGAAAAAATAAGAAAAAAATATAATCATTAATTTCTATAATTTTATTAAGTTTTATTTTTAATCTTTATAATTTTTTAATATTTTCAATCTTTATAAAGATTAAAAATATTAAAAGTTATAGGAATATGAGGAATAAATGTCATCAAATATTGTTAAAACTATGAAAACTAAAAATATGAAAAAAAAATATGGAGATTATAAGTAAAACTTAATAAAATTATAAGAACTGAGGATTCCGTTTTCTCAAAAAATAAAGTATTCATACATCATAAATAACGTGCTCCCTGAAATTCAATTAAAAAAAAATCCAGGACACGCAATTTAATTTTGATTTTTGAGTAATAAGTAACAACTATGAAATATAATGTGATTTGAAGAGTCATAATTTATGTAATTTATTTTTTATTCATGTTTATTAAGAGTGGAGTGCGATAATCTACCCACAGCAGAAAAAACAAATAAGCAAGATCAATAAAAAGATACCATCTTTTAATTTAAAATATTAAAACTTAAATTTATAGATCCTCCAACTTTAATATATATCAATGATTAAATTTAATTTTATTCTGAGAGTTCTCATATCAATTTAAATTCACCAGTACCTGTACATCTTAATAGTTTTATATGTAAAAAAGTTTTACTATTTTTATTTGTCAAACATAGAAATTCTTGTATGGTCCAATGGACCATGTTATTTTATGCTATTCAATGAAAAGTATGTCATGTCAATTCATTTAATTTTACGTGTCATCCCTCATTCATGTCATTTTAAATATTTAATTTCTTAGCTTTTTTCTCCCTTATCACTAACCATTATTGTAACTAGAAAAATGTAAGAAATTAAAGAGATATTTTATTTTAAATAAGTCATCAAAAATAATGATATATGAAATTTTATTTAATTAAACTAATTTAATTTTATTGAATGAAATATGAATAGGGAAGCACGACTGATCCATGCAAAAATTTATGCGTCGAATATTGTATTGTTTGTTATTTTATTATGTTAATTGGTTGTGGGGGGATTGGGACAAAAAGAAAGCGATAGAAGGAAGGAATAAAGTGAAAAGTAAAAGCAGAGGAGGAAGAGGAGAGAAGAACAGAACCCACGAGAGAGATAAAAGGAGAAACTTAAAATGACGAGATTAGGGGCGTGTTGGAAATTGGACCGTTGGAGGATTTGAAGTTTCTTGGCGTGTCGTTTTGGAATTTGCCGTTGTGAGGCTTTGAAATTTCTCTCTGCTGACAAAACTCAAGTTTGGATTTGTCGTCGACACTATGTAACTTGTTGGACTCGATGACGTTGATATCATACTGGCTAGAAATACCGCTCTCGTTAAAAGTTTATCTGCTAATTGTATTTGTTCAAGTGATAAATGACGCGAGGACTTTTTTCAATGAAGATAACAGCATTAAAAGATTCCAAAATTTGAAAAATGGCAAGGATCAGGTTTCCAGTCATGAGGAAATTAAATGCTATAGTTGGAAAATCATTTTCATTTTTAGTAGAAATGGTGAAACTCAATAAGAAAAACTTCACAATATACTCGTTGAAGGTTTTTCTTGTAAGTGAGCAATATTTGGGGGGAAAAATAACTTCTACTTTCCAAACTTTTTCTTGATTAGCAGTTCAAAAAAACTTGATCTTTACCATGACTAAATTGTTTTGAGTCAATAAATTTAAAAAATGAGTTGTTTTGAGTACATGGGTTAAATCAATAATTGAAAGTTCATGACCAAAAATTAAATATTTTCCCTAATATTTTCTTAAATGAAGAATCCTTAATTTGGTATTTTCAAATTTTAGGGTCCTTAACTATTATTATCTTGCTGAAAAGATTAGAGGACTTTTTTTTTTTTTTGGGTTCATGATTGTGCTTCAATGTGTTATTTTATTAGGGGGAAAAACCTTGGGACTCCAATGACATTTCCCCAATTTATGAGACTAAAATGTAATCAAATTTCTCCACAAGTGTCAGCCCGAACGTCTCAATGATTAACGTTGCGATTTTGCAAGTGTTTCTCAGGGTCAAGTCAATAAAGCTTAAACATGATGCACGTTTTATATATTTTAAAGTTAATTATCCTAGTGGCATATAAAAAGTGATTTATCCTAGCCTCTTTTAATCAAAGTGGTTTATTTTTTTTAGAACACAATTATTTTTAAAATATAAAATTAAACAATTAAGAACGTTGAAAGGAAGTGGAGTGTGTATATATATTTAGTACTCCTTTCGTTCAAAAATATAAAGTATTTTTAATTGAATTTCACCCTAATAAAGTAGTTGTATACTTTTAAATTAACCCTATCTTTCTATATTCACCCTTATTAAATACTCTACAATAAATATAAAGTCATTATCAATAGGGGTATTTAAAAAAAAAAGTAATGATTACATCTCAAAAGACTAAAAATATTTTATATTTTTTAACATCTAACTCCTTTTAACGGAGGGAGTAAGGTCCAACATGATTTAAAAGTTTAGCATTTACATTGTTTAATTTATTAATAACTTATCCAACATAATTGAAAAGGAGGATGTCATTTTCTATTCGTGTTTCATGTTTAGTGGGGTTTAGTGAGTGGGGAAAAAGAAAATTGAAAAAAAGAATGCAGATTTTATTATTAATATAATTGAATAGGTAATTCTTCTATTTGATTCCAAATAAAATGTATAGGGAAATTTCAAAAATATATTGAATTTACTGTAACATACCTTTAACTTCATAGGTGTTGGTATAATCTAAGTTATTTAATAGTTTTGTCAACACGTACAAATAATTATTAAAAACAACTCATGTTTTCAAATGGAATGATGGTAAATTTTAAAAAAGTGTACTGCATGTCATGTTTAAAACAAAGGCTGAGGGTTAATTTTGCTCTTGAACTAATCATAAAAGAGCACAAATAACTCTAAACTTAATTATAGATAATTTATATTCTTTAACTATTAAGATTTTTAAATGTCACCTTATTGTTTGCATTGTCAATTTTTTTGTTAGTTAGGCCCACATCTAAATTTTTTAACATTTATTTATTATAAAATATTGTATTATGGGCCTTGCCAATATTTTTTAAATAATTTAAAAAATTCTTCTCCCGCTTTCACCTTCTCTCTCCCCCTCCTATATCTCTTCATCATCTGACCAAGACCTCTTCTTCTTCCACCTCTCCAAACTCCAACTCAACTCCAATTCCAACTCCAATTGTCTCTCCATCTCCACCTTTAAGGACAAGCCATCCTAAGATCAGCCTAATCCACCTTCATGCATGCATGCATCCATTGGTTATGGACGAACCACCCCAAGATTAGCTAGAGTTGGTAATTCAGGTGGGTTAAATTGATTCGGATCGGATTTAAAGTATTATATCTTTTAAAAAAAGTTCATATAGTTAAGTCTGTCACTAAATTTTTTTCAAGCGAATTCAGGCTGAATTATAGGGCTTGGGTTGAATTACTTGCTCTGGTGGTCGGGCTCAATTTGGGTTAAATTATTCGAATCGAACTTAAAGTATCTTACCTTTTAAAAAAGTTCATATAATCAAGCTTGGTCTTAACTTTTTTCGAGCTGACCCGAATTACTAGCTCTATTACCAGCCTAATCAAGTTGTTGCGTGAAGACGACAGCGCTAAAGAGCTGAGTTAGCCCTAGTTTGGCCATCTTTAGAAAGGCGGTTCGATCTCAAACCAGAGAGGGAGTTGTTACAGAGATTGAGGATATGAAGGTCAAAGTTCGAGAGGACGAAGCAACAACACTACCTAAATCTGTTCAATATGTTTCATCATCATCTCTCACCATTGCCGATCCATCCTCCACCTAACAACAATAACCTTTGCATGATCTCCTCATCATTAGCACCCACCATCAATATCACACCATTTAAACCAGAACCTCACCATTGTTTTTCACTTAAAAAACAAGGGTGAGTAGGGAGGTGGTGCATACATGCATGTTCGACATGGAGCTATTGAGAGGGCGATATGCTTGACGCCTTCTTTTGGGTTCTAGAGTGACAACATGCAGAACCAAATGGAGCATTTAGTTCTCCACTTTGCTAACTTGCAACTGCAACTTCGTCCTCCCCTTGCAATCGTCGATGCCTTGGACCCTACACTTAG